CCCCATTCTTTCAAAGTGCAAAATACTCGTTCAGCACTTGTATCAGTATTTGCAATGATTAAAAATGTGCGTATTCGCCATCTATTGCTATCTCCCAGTGCTCGACGTACATTTTGCAGTTTGAGTGCAAATGCTTGCATTGGACCTTTTGTTAATAAAACGGATCCCGTTTCTTGCTCAAAATATTCAGTGAGTTTTGATTCAGGTTCTTTCGAATAGAGTACATCATCTCCATCAAAAACAATACGAACTTGATCTTTTGGCCGCAATGCAACACTAGAATGTACTGATGTAGCACTTGAAACAATGGTGGAATTGTCAGAAGGTCTTCATAAAAAATAAACAAAATGATAGAAATGTAATGTGATTTTAATGAAGTTCACCAACTTACAAGACGGCAGGTTGAACAGGTAATAATTCAGGTGTCAGATTGTATATTAAACCAGCAGCTATACCCTCAAATGGATCAGAAGTGATACCACTCAGTACTTTTCTTACTTGTTCTTCTTCTGTAGATAAGAAGAGATCACATTTCCAAGCTGGAAGATAGTTAGTGACATCCGTACCACACGTGAACGCCATTTTTTTAATAGCAAGTTTGTAATTATTGATAGATTCTCTAATACGTTGTCCAGACTCTGTATCGTTGCGTGAAACAAGAACAATCTCGACTACAGGTTGATCAACGACTTTGTTCAACTCTAATAAGGATCGAACTAATGAAAATCCAACACCAGGTTTGAGAGGAATACCAATGTGCTCACGCTGATGTTTTATATATGCTTCGAGCCCATCACGTTTCCATATTGTGTGTGACTCATTGCAATCGAAGAGTGCAGTTGATGAAATACACACAACTAACTTAGAAGATGATTCCATCTTGATATTTATTTCAATTTTCTAAAACTAAGAGAAAGTCTATTTATATATCATTATTACAATCTTTATACTTATATTTTGTTCTAAATATAGTATTCAAAATAATACAAAGGAAAATATTTATAAAATAACGTATGAGAAATGAATAAGAATCTATGTATTATCAAAGTATCGATTTATGTATAGATGATTTCTAAAAAACGCGAAAATATGAAATTAAAAATTATTGAAAGATAAAATCAGTACTAGGAATAATTTGATTAGTGACGCATATTTCTATTTTTTTCTCTTTGGACGTTTTATTTTATAAAAGAAAATACTATTTTACTGAGTCAGTTACAGACTATTGAAAAGTAGAAAAAAGTACTAATAATGAGAAAACAAAATATGTCTTCTATTGATTGTAATACTCATTCTTGCCTATTCTCTTCGTGCAAAAATATACTTTTACCAAATAAAAAAGAACCAACGCAATCGGCTGCTTCTTGGAAAGAAAAATAAATATAATATTTTTCATTTCAATCACTTTTTCACATACACAAAAGAGAAACGTCCAACATACTGATGTATTTGTGTTTTTTCGTCATTGTTTCAGTGAGAAAAAGTGCAGGTGTTCGGTGGCGTAAAATACGCAATCAATAGTATAAATCGATATTTACATGAGCGAAATGTGACTTTCGTGCAGGAATGTCATATTTAATTATTGATATCTTGTTAATTTCATATTGTAAAATATTACCTTTCATTTTATATAACGTTTCAATCGTTGATCCTGCCTTCTACTGCGAGTTTATTGATTAAAAAATAAAGTACGCTTGCATATATGTATATTGATATTTTTCTTTCTTTGCTTTTACTTTGTTATTATTTTGATTTTAATAGTAACTCAACAAGACAGCAATAATCGGCAAATATAAGCTATTAATGAAACCATATTATAATAGCAGAAAAGAAAAAATATCAGTGTGTCGTTTATTCAAATACATTTTATTGTTTATTCAGAAAGCCTGAGGAAAGCAGTATCGACTGTCGAAACGTCACGAAAAATAAAGAATAATATTCTTTAGAAAAGTTACAGAGCAAAGAAAAATCATCTCAGGTGTGGGTGAGTATGCACAGAAGAGAAACCCGCATCCACCCTCCAAGATTAGATTATACATTGAATGATATCATGATTTGATTAGTTATTGATGTACTTAAAATTTGTACTGATGATGGCTGTATTAACCAGCTTTTCGCTAACTTCAAACAGATCGAAAATTCTACTAATAGTTTATATATATTTTCAATAGAAAAATAAATATGTTATTATTATTACTACATTTTCTTTACATATGTCATTCTTTCTTATATGTCTTTATATCAATAAAAAACTATATATATGCGAGGCATTATTTTTGCAAATAACAATTTTTATCAGTTAGTTAGACGTAAAGCATACAGAATATGTTATCTATTTACCCATATTGAACGAATATACTTTTGTTCGAAAGCTTTAAAGTGGTTTGAACGCACTTTTGCGCGGTATTTTTTGTTGCTTATCTGACTAGGTACATTTCATACGAGCTCGTCTCATTTATCTATTTATAGTATTTAGAAAAAGACAAGTACTGAAGTACATATTTTTTATTTCTAATTACTGTTAGAAACTATATAATGACATCCGTAATAAACTTTTCAATAAGATTCTTTATTAGATTAATATTCAAACTGAAAAGAGCCCTTATGAATAAGTCACGGAGTGAATCTCGTTTTAAAAAAATCACAACATATTTTCTCTTTCGTAGATGCTGGATGACAATAATTCATCTATAAAAAAAATATTAACTATTCTTTCAAACTTTGTAATTTATTGTTCTGTCTTCATGCTATCAGATCAAATGAACTCATTTGAATAAATAAAAGGAAAATATTCTATTTTTATATGATGGAATCAGCCGAAATGAAATTAAGATAATTAAATAAAATATATCTGAACATATACATCATTTCAATGACTTCTTAAATCAAAAACACTATAAGGAAAGACAAAAATACAATTCTATCTGGAACTCAAATGCTAGCTAGAGCAGTAATACATAGTAAAAGGAAAAAATTTGAATAAAAAATGATGATCAAATAAAAGAAATGGTAAAAGATTTCAACGTTATTTATTTCTTGTCGTTTTCTGTGCTTATATTATTCTTGATTCATATGTATATTTTTTTATAAACAATTATTTGAAAAGCTTGAAAGAATAATTAATTACTTATAGAGAGAAAAACTTCATTTTTCGTTTATGCATCGGTGCAATGCGCGGAAGTGTCACTGCGCGGAAGCGTTCGTGAGTCATTAGACAAATCCTTGTTTAGCACATCATCATTTGATTTATTATTAGGCGTTCAACAGAGTTTTGTCGTTAATTTCAAAATTTTTATTTTTATTTTTCAGCTCAGACATTATAATTAGTTTACGTATATATATATACTCCATACTTTCTACTATAGATAGTAATGATGCACATATAATTGAAAGGTAGTGAAATTAACGACACAACTCTGTTGAATACCCAATAATTAAAAAATGTTGTTTCATTACTAAAGAGACGATCGAGTATAACATGAATGAAATGATATTTTTATGTTATTAAATAAAACATACTTTCTTTTCCTCAAATATTAATAATAACAATAATAATGTATGCGAATAATTCATCAACAACAAATATTCAATCCTGGTTTATTTCTTTCGATATTCTTAATGTTATATGTTTAATCTTGGTCATTATACTTGCCTTAATATTTTTATTTATTATTATATTTGATAAAACTTGTCATACAGTTCCAATGATACTTATTGCTAATTCATGTTTGGCTGAACTTGTTCTTGCAATTGATTTATTTTGGATGGCTGTATTTACATTAGACAATGATCTTAAACAACAACAATACGAAGATCTATTTTGTAAATATCGAGGTTATATTAGTTATGTGACATGTTTTGCACAAAACTATTCTTATTTCTTACAAGCAATCTATCGATATCTCACAATAGTTTACCCATCTCGTTTATTTTGGCAATCAAAACGAGTTCAAATTTTCTTGATTATTTTCAGTTGGATTATCGCTTTTATATGTGTTTTTCCTCAACTATTCACTGGTAGAATCATCTATCAAGTTGATGATCAAATGTGTCAAATGTCACTTGAGTTATCTTTCATAACAGTTTATAATGTAGTTTTACTTTATCTAATTCCGATGAATGGTACTATATTGATTTATTTTAAATTAGTTCGATATGTTAAACAAATGAATAAAAATGTAACACCAGCAAATACTTTATTACGTGTAGAAAGAGAATTAAAAATGATACGTCGAATAGTTATACTTGTATCAATGTTGATAACATTTGGTTTAACTTATGCTATCTTCATATTCATGAGTTTCTTTACTCAACCACCAAAATATCATTTTCGTATTGCTTATATATTTGTAAATGTATCATTAGTATTTATTTTAACTGCTTTATTTAAATTTACAGATCCAATTAAAACATCTATAATGAAAATAACAAATCGACGACCAAATGTCGTTATAGCAATACTAACATAAATGAAATGAAGTTATACAAACATATAAGAGACTATTATTTGATGTTGTATTGTATTTCTATTCTTTGATTAAATTTGTATTTTGAAAAGAAATTTTTTGTTTGTTTCATAATGATATTACTAATTGAAAAGTGTGTATGTTGATATGCATGTGGTCGGAGTGAAACAAAGTATTTTAATTCTATTACAAAGTTTTGCTTAGTTTAATTTCGCCGAAAGAAATTTATCGTTTTATCTTATCGCCGATATATGCATATATTCTTCAGCGACAATAAAAAATCTCCACGTGTCAACGTCTATAAATCGTAATAAGGCAATATTTACCTGCAATATAAAATGTGTTTTAGGGCACAATCTGGAAGTTTTAAACCAATTTTCTTTCACACTGTTCTTATCTATGTTTAATGCGATGTTATTGCTGATACACTTATGCAGTCATTGAGTTTCATCACTGTTGAAAATAATCAAGAAATTATATTCACTTAGAATTGATTCGGTTTTTTTTCAAGCATATAAAAGCAATTGAAAGGGAATGAGACGTATGTTATTTTGAAGATGTCAACTGTAATACATTTCACCACAGTATTTTTTACTCTATTGGTCTTGTTATATTGTAATTCATCGGAAGTGAAGGATGAAAAATCACAATCAGATGGATGGTGTAACGAAGAAAATTTGCAGTGTCCAAAATGGCCTTCATTCTCGAATAAAAACAGCTCATACATTTATTTCTTGGGCTTGTTTCTTGAACAACGAACTCTACTAAAATCTACAAGGCATTTTCAAACATCGGCAGAACCCGCTATGTTTCGCGCTGCAATTCTATTAGCACAACGCTGGAATATGACTATAAATAAAACAGATTGCCTATCATATAGAAGAAACAAATGGTCGTGATGTTATTGAAACACTCGATCGTACATGTCGCTCTATTGCTGAATATCAGATCCTCGGAATTGTTGGGCCTGAATACTCGACTGAAGCGAGAACAATAGCACGTTTAGGCAATAAAGTAGGATTGCCTGTAGTTGGCTACTCGACAACCGAGCCTGAACTCTCAGATCGCAATGCATATCGAACCTTCTACAGATTACCACCGTCTGAAGTTACCACAGCAAGAGTACTATTGAAGTTATTCAAAAAATATAAATGGAATTCAACAAATGTGATCTATCAGGGAGATACTTATGGGCAAGGCGGACTTCAGGCTCTTACTCAAGTATTTACTAATGAGGTAGAAATTTCACGTTCAATTAGATTTGATTTATTTGTTAATCAATTCGAGAATATACAACGTCAACTAGAAGATAGTCCATCTCGTATTGTGATTGTTATGGCTAATGCAAATGTAACAACACAAATCATACAATCCGCAGCGGAAGCCGGTAAAGTTCTGGCTCCATCCTTTCTCTGGATTTTAACAGCAAGTAATTCATCAATGAATATTCTTGCGAATGAGCATATAAATCAACTAATAGGAATGTTAATATTAAGACTAATTCCAACAGATATAGTTAACATATCAGCAAGCACATATTTATTAGATGAAGCTCTTGATATTTGGAAAAAGTATGATCCGAATTCATTTCATGACAACCAACCGCACATGGATATTTATGCACGCTATGCATTCGACGCTTCATGGATGTTGATTTTGGCATTCCAACAACTTTGTCAAAATAATCCTACATCATGTCTTTCATTTGAGAACACTTCCAACTGCTTTGCTAGTAATCTAACTGCACAAGGAGAACTTCATAAAATTCTACAAACAATGAGTTTTATTGGCCTCACAGGACGAGTGCAGTTCGGCTTGAACAGTACCGATCGTGTTGATGATACAGGGGCATATTATGTGATCAGCAATATACAATCATCAATGGATGGATTTCACCTTGTAGATGTTTTAAAATTGAATGGTACTTTATTGAATACTAATCATAACTGTACAACTGAATGGATAAATATAACAAATTCTATTCAATGGCCGAGAAAATGGGATGAGGTCCCAACTGATTATGCACTTCTAAAAGGTACGTTAAACAGGAAGCTAAGTTAATAGAACTTAATAGCCTGAAAGAAACCAATAGATAGATCTTTCAGAATTAATGAAAATAGAAAGTTTTATTATATATCATCGATCAAATTTGTAAATCATGTTGTTTTAATTTATTAAAATCATTGTTATGCTTATACATACTTTTTAGGCAAAACACTCAATATTACTGTTTATATTACACCACCATTTTTTATGAAGAGATCATCTCGTGGCATTCATGAAAAGGATTTATATGAAGGATATATTCATGAATTACTTACATTACTGAGCGAAAAAATGGAATTCAATTTTACTTATACAGTTGCACCAGATGAGACTAGCTATGATGAATTAGTAGATTGTGTAAAAAACCGTACATGTGAAATTGTGATGGCCGACTTGGCTATCACGCCAGCTCGTGAAAATAAAATTGATTTTAGTGCTTCAATTTATGCTAATACAATGCGTCTTGTTGTACGCAAAAGTAAACAGGAAACAATACAACCATTTGCATTTTTGAATCCATTTTCACTTGCACTTTGGTTGACAATTGTCGGTACCATATATTTTCCGTCCGCACTACTTATTGCATTCTATGAACACCGCAAAATGAATAATAACTTTGAACATGACGAAAATAATAGTCATATCTATGATAAATCATGGATAAAGACAATTGGCAGATCTCTTTATCAAACTATTGGTGCTTTGATACAAAGAGGTTCTGAATTACAAGTCGTAACCTTATATGGTCGTATTCAAACAGTTATTGTTTGGCTTATGAGTATTATACTAGTAGCGCTTTTCACTAGCAATCTGATTGTTAATTTCACTGCTCAACGTGAAAAACCATGGCTGCAAAGTATCGATGACTTGAAAATGTGTCGCAGCATAGATTGTAGTCGTATAGGTGTCATTGAACGATCACAACATGAATAATATTTTACGAAAGAAGTAACAAATAATATTCCGATGAATTATCATCGTTTGAAACATCCAAAGGAATGCTTTACAAAACTCGTAGATGGACATATTGACGTTGCTCTAACTGATAGTCCAACCGCAGAATATATGATTCAGAAAGAGTATTGTCAACTAGAACTAGCTGGTACACCATTTGGTAGGTCAGATTTTGGCGCGGCTTTACCAAAGCAATGGCCTTACAAACAAGACTTAGATGCACACATATTGGAACTGAGAACAAATGGTGAGATTGACCGACGATTTCCAGCATATATTCAACAGAAAAATTGTGATGTTAACTATGATAACGAGTCAAAAAATCTAAATAATCGCCTGGGAGTATACGAATCTAGTGGACTATTGTACATATTCGCAGGTCTCACTATCCTCAATTTCGCACTGTGTTTACTCAGGCGACTATTTAACCATATCTCCAAATGGCACAGGGGACGATATAATGTTCAAAATTGACTTTTTTAGTTGAAAAGAAATGATTACTTTATTGCTTGACTTGTTGCTCTTAACTGAATCTTTAATATAGATGGTTTTTCCCTTCTGACCAGAAAAGAAAATTTTGAAACTTATACAATTTAGCTGACATAGCTGTTAAAAAGTAGGTTTATCTTTCAAGTGAAATGTGAGCCACCTATTAATTAAAAGTCTATTTAGCTGTATGAGTAATAAAAGACATATGAAGAATCTGCATAAAATAGAGAGGGTGGGTGTGGATGTAAGTAGGCATGTCTGAGCGTATGCATGTAGAATGAATAAAAGACCACGCCCGTACCCTCTGTTACTAGAAGTATGCATAAAAACCTATCGACGATACATATGTGAGATAGTGCTTGTTTATCTCGTGCTCATCCTCAACTTATGTACCATATTTTTATTTCAAGAATTTATAGTTCAACAAGTTCCTTCATACGAAGAAGTATCAATCGTATGTAACCAGCTGTGATTGCGTGAGCATAGGTAGTATAAGACGAAAATTTTCCTGAACTACAGAGACAGGTTAACATTTGTTTGATTTCTGTCCAGGTAGCTTTTGCAATATATTCAGGATTTTGCGACATTCGATATGTTGGTATCAAGTCATAATCGTAATTCTCTGCCCAAGTTCCAGCTAAACCATAAAAGTGATACATTTCATCTCTATAGAAAGGAATTCCATTTTCATCGCGTCCGGTCTCAAGATTAATGGGTTCGCCGTTGGGATATAATATATCAATATAGTTGAGCAAATGTTGAATATCAGCTTTACAAAACTGTGGTGATAGAGGAAGCTCGTTCGTTGATGTAAGATCAAATGGTTTGGCTAGTTTCAAGGAATTCGAAGGAATTTCACGTAAACTAATTATATAAACTCCATTACTTGGATTTGATGATCCAATTACTTTAAGACAGGTTCCTGGTAGTAGAAGAATTTCATCATCATTTTGAAGATGTGAATGTGCACGAAGCAATTTTCCATTTTTTGTTTCAATTGAAAATATTGTTTGTATATTTTCTCTACCCAAATACATAGGAGACTGTAGAACATCAAATGACGATGTAGTGGAACTCAAAGACCACCATGTTAACTCTTCACCTTCTTGATAGAGTTTGCTAAGATCATCAGGAACTCCACGCCATACGGTATGATATTCAGTGAAACTACAACTTATTACATGTGAGTTTACTGCAAGTTAACAGTTTTAATACTTACGGTAACTTGAAGAATGCAGTAAAAAATAGTTTCATATATTTAAGCCAAGGTTTAAGTGTACTTCTATCAATTGCACGAAGTGCTTGATTAAAAAGAGCATACAGACTATTTTCTATTTTCTCCCATTGCATAGTATACAAATAGATTGATGCCGATTCATCTTGTGTAAGTCCATCTTTGGGTTCTTTCGAATTCAGTTTAGCAATAGTTACATATAGTTCGAGTTCTTTACTGAGAATATTCGCAAGTGGCTGACAAGCTTCTTCAAGAGATACCAATGGTTCTTGTTCATAGCCACAGATTGGTTCAAGTATTTGTTTCGGTTCATAACGAATATCAGCTAAAAGACGAGGATTAATTTCAAACGATAATGTCATTTTTACACGCACCCTTCTTTATTTCCAACTAACATCGAACGTGAATGTTTTTGTTGGTCTCCTTTATCATCATGTCGTAAATAGTGAGAGATTATGCAAATAGAAAGGTAAAATGACACAAAACTAATATAAAATTTATATAAAGTTTCATTCAAATATGAAAGGAAAGAAAGAAAAAAAAATAAAGACTCCTTTGCAATAATCACATCTAAAAAATACAAGTATATTAGCATCAAATCTTGAGGATAGGTGTAGGTTTGGGTCAAAGAGTCACCGATATCCATGCGACACCCAGCTACATCTGTTCGAAATATATTTCTCTCAGAGTTTTCTCCATCTACTTTTGGCCTTAACAATAGAACATAATCACACGAAACGAAACATGTTGTAAACACGCAATTAAAGTTATTAATAAAAACTGAACAAAATGGAACTGGAAATTTTTATAGTGTATATAGATTATTTAATGATTGGTTTTCCAGGTTTGTATCCGTTTTTGACATCTCATCATGGATGACAAAAGTATATTGTCATCAACAGATAATTTGTATGTCAAGAAAATAGTTATGAATCTGAGAGTCTGTAAGTAACTTTCAAGATGATCAAAAGTATTTATATTAATAAACTCAATTTTTACTTCCTTACGAAGTTGTATACATATTGCAATATAGTCTGATTAATGTTGAAAATCATTAAATACGCATAAAAACAAATACAATTAATAATTAGTTTAACTTGAATAAATAAAAAAATATTTTCTTGACTTCACTTCGAAATGTTTTTGATACAAATAAATTAGTATAACAACCAAGACAAAATGGAATACCTGCACTAAATAAACATAAATCTCGAATAACTGTTTCAATTTGAATTCGATCACTAGTTTTTATTTGATTTTGTGTTATTTGTTGATACATAAGAAATATAGAAAAAATAAAACTAAAAACAGCATAAATAATAATATCCATCAATAACATAGAAAATAATTGTCGATCTTTTCCAGACGAAGAATTTGTTTCAATAACATTTTTAGTTACGGATAAATTAAGTACAATTCTCATATGATGTAAACTATGAATATTCTTTATTGACCATAATCCACATATTGTTAATAATAGAAGTGCACTTATTTCTTTAATAATCGAATAATAACCCATAAAAGTAAGATGAATACCTGGTTGATAATAACAAAGAAAAGAATTTGGAGTAATTTGTGTAATAGTCGAGAAAATTAATAGATGAGCATGAACTAATGCCCAAAATAATGTGCCTACAATGATACATAAATAAGCAAGACGACGAGTACTTTTTCGACGTGTAATTGCATTTCGTGATGTTATCAAAATTCGATCAATAGATGCCAAAATTAAATAAAATGAACTTAAACTATTGAATAAAGCTACTGTATAAAGAAATACACGACAGAGAGCTAAGTGATATATATTAGCATTGATTTTATATCCAATATTTAATGTTAAAGATAATAATGAAGAATAAATATAGATAAAATTAGCAAGATTATATGCAATAAAATAGATTGAACATGGATTTTTTCGTAGATTTTTTTGACTGAAAACAACTAAATTAATTATACAACTTATAGTACCTATGAATATTAAGATAGGACATCCAATTTGATATAAATATTTTTCTGCTGATTTCATTGTTGTAACTATATCATTTAATGAAGATTGCGATGACATACTGTTTTGAGATTGATTAAATCGTTAAAAACAAAACGCACTCTTCGTCGTACTACTTCTTAAAAAGAATAACGTATATTCATTTTATGAGAGATAAACAGAAGTCTTGTTCTTGACAATTAAACGTAAAAAGCATTATAAACTCGCATGTTTTTGATGAATTCTTGTATTTTTTACATAGTCTTCAACAATCAATCCTAATGGAAGAACTCTTAGAGGAGTACTCAAAAAGTACTCACGCTAGAAAATGTCACAAGAATTCATGAGTACTTATGATGCTTGAGTACTCGGGTGGGTGTGGGTATATTAACATAGGTATCTAAACCCACACCCTTTTCGATACCTTTAGTACAACTACTTTAATTCAATCTTTTTATCTATTATTACATTTCAAATGTAAGATTCTATTTATAAATATAATCGAATTTCAAAGGTAGTACAATCAAATGAAAGACAAATAATATAGAGCATATTCACCCTAGTCGACCCTCCCCAACGAAATCCTTTATGAGTTTTCTAGTGAGTCCCGACTAGGGTCATTTTAAAAAACAAGAGAATTCCCTCCTTCTTATGTAAAAACTATTCAGTAAATTCCGGTGTTCACCGAAAAATAAGTAAATCAAAATAAATTCAAAAATTTATTGAGAAAATGCAATAATGCCCATAAAATAAATAAATCCCAATAAATCTAACAAAAAAATAAGCCCCGGAAGCTACTGAAATCTTTTCGTTATCACTATACCATAAAAACGAGCTGTAGAATTGTAGAAAACTGGTTTTTGTATTATTAATTACATTGATCAAAATGTGTCGAATTGTATAGCCAATTAAGTGAAATATAAACAAATATAACTTCTTGGCATGTGTTACAACATCCCATTGAGGCACCATAACAGCTACCACAACCTAATCACCAAATAAAGGATAAATACATGAGAAGAAACTTGTCTGAATTATATATTAAAAATGGAAGTGGTTCGTATTTCTTTCAAATCGAATAACGATATCACTTATTCCAAAAAAGAAGTTTAAAAACAGGTTAAAGCCGATTTTTTTGAAAAAAGTCACAGATCAATTAATATCAGATATTTTCCATCTCATTAGAATATTACTCTCTAATCACAATTCTCATGTTGTCTTTATCAATCATGTAATTCCTTACTTGGTCTCACAGGTGGACAGACTTCTTTA